AAATCATTCATCAACCAGGAAATGATTGCCCTTAACCCCTTTCAAACCATTGCCCAATTCAACAGGAAATGGGTAATGATTGCAAGGGAGCTGTTTCCCAATTGGGAGTTGGCTGTGCAACAACCTCTTTGATGTATACCACCATTCACCGCACCTGGTATGAAAGCCCTGACTGCTGGCTTACCATGAATGGTTATTGTGCATCGGCATTGTTGTGTGAATTGGGCCAGTTCGTTCACACACTGAGCAGAGCTTATTCAGTAGGGAGAGGTAATTAATCTTTTAAAAAAGATGATTAACTCCTTTGGAGTCTACAGGCCTACGTGCATGTCTCTTGTTATTTAATTAAGATCCAGTTTTTTCTTTCCCCGAATCTAGCACTGTCAGACGATGAATGTTCCATTGGATTTGTCAAAGACTGGAATAGACAAAATGGACAAGAAAACTGTTGTAAATCACTGAAGGTTTATTCATCTCCATCATCGAATATTTCAAAAATTAAAAATCTGAATTTTACAAAAATCCCAACCTGCTGCAAACTTCCGATGATTTTTGGGGGGCTTGATTTTTCGATTTTTCTTTTTTGAAGTCCAAATAAACTCTTTAAAAATGCTTGCAAAATACAAAAATAATCTGACAAACTTCTTCATCCCATTAGTCTTGAGAGCCTCTTGACAGAAACTTGTTTCTTTTAGACAATCCATCAGGAGCTAAGTTGATAAAGTGTATTTTTTTTTATTAATTTTGTCCCTTTGTAATGTTTGTATTTGTATATACTTGGAACTTTCTTGGCTCTAATTTGTATGCATCCTGAAAAATGAAATAAATGTAAAATGTAAAACTTGTGGTCAGGTAAGTGGAGTCTAGTAATAATTTAACAGAATTTATCACCTTCAAAGAATTTCTTTAATGCTTATTCGGGTTTGGGGGAATCATTTGAAGTGTGTGATGCCGGCATGGTCAGGGAACACTCAGCTGAATTCTTGCCCAATTTCTGGATGCCGCCGTTTTTGATTTTTGGACAAAATTTCATGACACGAAACATTTAACAGGTTCAACAGCATGTCTTGTGAAGGTTTTACAGTGTGTTCCTAAAAAGGTAACCGAATTTCAAAGGTCAGCTGTGTCAGAATACATGGTTTATTCTTGGGAAATGTTTACTACAATACAAAGTAACTCATCAGTTTTAATTTGACACCTTGCTTGTGTCAACATTGTCACGGATCACAGACTTAGGTTCCTTCGAAGGTGAAGGGTACAAAACCTACTTTTTCCAGGTTCTTGGTTTGTAAGGTACAAAACCAGCTTTTCTGTAAGTTTATGGTTTCATCGTTTGTTTTTCACATCAAGTTTTAATGAAATGTGATCCCCTCTGTTAACATTTTTCAACAGACAGTAATTTACAATCTGGTGAGCACCAACACCTTCGACGTGTCCACCTCCCCTGTCGACACAGAGCTGCTCTTCTAACTTAGAAAAAGTAAAGATCTGTGACAATGTTGACGCAAGCAATGTGTCAAATTAAAGCTGATGAGTTACTTCGTATTGTAGTAAACATTTCACAAGAATAAACCACGTATTCTTAACATAGCTGACCTTTGAAATTCGGTTATCTTCGAATCCTGTTAAAAAAATGCCACTAAAACCGGATATTTTTCAAAAGGCAGGTGCTGGGGTGGTGGTGGGCAAATTGACCCAGCTTGCCCAACAAGCTGTGACAGAATGATACTCACATGAGAATTTCCCTCCTAAACTAGCATCGCCTGACAGAAGTAATCTGACCCCTTGCCTGATTGGCTAAAACAAGGGACTGTGATTGGCTACCAGTTAGTGCACAGTAACTCTGATTGGCCCACTTTATGAATAATTAGTGCTAGAATCCTCTTTGGAATCCACCTTAATTGTCATAACTGCAAGAAAAAGGGGGCAATTGAATGCAAACTGGTGCACATTTGTGGAGGATCTGTGGCAGCTTTCTGCAACCATGAATATAACCACACAAGGCAGTACAGATTTTACAGCATTCTTCTAACCATGAAAAGCTGCATACATACTTGTGACCCCACCTTATGCATAAAAAGTTGGGCTGAGTGCAAAAAGTATAACATCTGCCAGGAAGTGTGTCAGCTATCTAGGGCAGTGCACATAGGACTATGTGCCTATATCTAATACAGTAAGATTCTTCGAACCTTGCAAAGCAACAGATCTGTGTACCACCAAGCATAAAGGGTTCTGTCAAAATACATGCATTGTGACAGAACCTCTTATTACAAGTCAATACCAGCTTTCTCGACCCGGGTTGCAGCTGTTGATAAACAGTTCTAATGACTCACCTGCAACCCACGATAGAATGCAATCCATTATTTTTGGATTTTTTTGGCCCTGCCTGACATGTATTGTAACACTCTATACTCAGTGTTTGTCCCATCTTAACCACTCGATAACAGAGCTTGCCAGTGGCGGCTGGCTGGTTCGAGTCAGACATAGCAGCGGGTACCGCAAACAACTATTTTTAACATCTCCTCGGTGCAAATCCATCCTTGAAAATAGCTGTTCACGGTACACACTGCTACATCTGACGACAAGCTCGGTGGTCGAGTGGTTAAGACGTCTGCACTAGTAAGCAGGAGGTCGTGGGTTCGAGTCCCACCCGAGTACGCTTGTGGGTTTTTTCAAAAGCCTACGGGGTTATACACTTAGTATATAGTGTTATAGTACACGTCAAGCAGGTCAAAAATCCAAAATTAATTAACATCTCCCCTGCACAAATCCATCCTTGGAAATAGAATATAACCCCTTAAGCTCTCTATTGTATGAAGTCGCCCAGGAGTGGTGTTTATCCAACTGCGAACTGTTTAACAAGCAACTCTGTATCATTGCCTGCTTTACTATGAAGCTGGTCAGGGGCTGATCGTTTATCTGTCAATCCCTGGTTCATGAACCATTTCTACTTTGACTTAGTGCCTTACAGTGGAGACAATTTCTTCATCCCCGGAGGACCAATAATGACGATCAAAATGAATCTCGACTGGCCCTGTTGCGGGTTCAGATGTGGATCCCCTGGGTTATCTGAGCCTGCGTTTACAACCAATGTGTGTCTGCAATGAACGGGGAAAGTCTCGAATGGCGGATGCGGATTTGGATAGGTTGAAAGAGGACAGGGATCCGGAGCTGAAAACGAGGGGAGTTGGCTTTGAATCAAGGTGGCTGACAAGCAAAGAAAGTGACTCGAAGCAGGACATGAAAGCTGAGATGATAGCTGAGGAAGAAGCGGGTGGTGTTAGGATGAATGCAACTTCCTACAAGTTGACCCCAAAGAAAAGACGTGGAGCATTTACACTTCTTACGCATGGAAGAGTTTGTGAAAAAATTTGCAGATGAGGCCAGATGGGCGCAAGCAGCAAAAGAATAGCCAAGCTGCAGGTCATGTCCAGAAGAAGCATTGTGGTCTTTGGACGAATGCAGCTTCCTAGTAAATGACCCAACGGAAGAAACATGGATCATTTATGCTTCTCACGCATGGGAGAGTTTGTGGAATAAATCTGCAGACGAGGCCAGCGAGGTGGAAGAGCAGTCGAGCTGCAGATCACGTTTGGGTGAAGGCCATGTGAGGTGAGCCTCAGTGGCAAGAGGTTAGGAAGCATTCTTCCAGAATATCCCCAAAGATAAACCGGAGGGCGAAAAGACCTCGGGTGTGTGGAAACCACAGTGGCACAGCAGGCTGGTGGGTTCGGATGCCCAGGGTGCAGACTGGAGAGATGTGGCTGTGGATCCACATTCCTATGGCGCATTTACCAGGACAGCCTCAGGGAGTGATGGGAAGTTGACCTGGTAGCACTATTGTTGGATTCATGCCTGAGTGCCCCCATCGATATGGACGCGGATGCCGGCAGAATAAGATGTGTTGCAGTTGCTTGGGTCGGCAGGTGAGGTGTTGACTCACCTTCCTGCAGGTCTCAGTGAGCCTACTGGTGGCAGTGGGGGAAGTCTCGGTGCACTATAATGGATACACACTTATGGCACATTCACCAGGGCAGCAACAAAGGGAGTTGGCCCAGGGAGCGCTATTGTCTGGTCCATGCCTGAATGCCCACCCTGAAGAGGACTCGCATGCCAATGGGCTTAGGCATGTAGCCATAGCTTTGGTCAGAGGGTTGAGGCAGGGACTCGTCTCCCTGCAGGCCTCAGTGAGACGTTACTGGTAGTGGAATAGTTGTACAGGGTAAGGTTCCCTCCCTTCTCTCGACAATCGCCAGGCCTCTGCTCTCTCCAGCCTGTACGTCTGCCACAGGGCCTCCACTTTTTCTAGCCTGGAAAGTAGGCTGCATACTGCATGCAGGCAAGGGACGTCAGCTCAGTCGACACCCCTGCATATCACAGGCTACAATAAGGATGCAGTGTGGATCAGTAGTCCAATGGCGCATTCACTGGGATGGACAGCCCCAGAAAGTGAGGGGGAGTCTGCCCGGGTAGCACTATTCTGTTTAATGCCTACGTGTCCCAGGTGAAGAGGTCTTAGACGTCAGTGGGCTGATGCATGAAATGGCTATTGGGCCGGCATGTGTGCCTCGGTTAGCCATGCTGGAGATGGAGTGGTTTGACGTGGTAGGCTACCTTTTTCTTATCGTAAGTCGCCAGGCCTTCGTTCTCTCTCCCCGGCCTGGGCGACTGTCGGAATGCGAACTGCCTCAATAGACCTTGTTGTCCTCAAAGAGGCACTGGGGAAGCAGACCGCACACACCACAGCTCAGTCCCTTCTGCGTGGTTGTTGGCTAGTGCCAGTTCTGACTGAAAAGGGGCCGGAACTGAGTGGACCGATAGTACAGAAGTCATGAGTGTCAGCTTAGGACCTTAACACCTAGATCTTACTGTTGACCGACTTCTCTTGGTTTGGGGGGTGAGCTGAGGACCGAAACATGCTTTACGCCCACAAAGGAAATTTGGAATATGGTGGCTGTTTGGGTAGGATGAGCATAGTGGATTTGTGAAATCTGACTTACATCAAATCATAATCACCAAGTTGAATAATCCTTTGTGAATCATCCATGTGAAAAAATGCCATGGTGACATCATCCGAGTCAGAATCCATTTCCAGTAAGCCACTCTCCACCTGTCAAATTGAGAAAAGTTTTATAGTTGACACGTAAATCCTTGATTAACAAACTATGGGAAGGGACACACATACACGTAACACTTTAATTGCATATTACAAACTCATGTACAGTACATGAAAAATCGTGCAGCATACAAATACATGTAAATGTTTAAATGAATAATTTCATGAAGCAGATGAAAGTTCCATAGCACAAGATCAAGCTGACTGCAGTGTTGCAGTTTTGAACCAACCTTAAACATGAGAAACAGAAAACAAACTTAAACCAGTCAAACTAAAATCAATCAGAACTAACAAAAGCCAACTGGCGTCCAAAAATCGAACAAAGCAGAATGACCAAGTGAACAAAGAACCAAACAAATGAATGGCCAACTAACCAATACAAACAAACACCCCAACAAACAAATCAACCAACCAACCCACTGAATGAACTACTGACCAATCAAACAACAAGTAACATTTGCCTTGAGCAAATGTCCTATACTTTTATATTTATTCTGCTTCTTGTTCCAGAACCGTTCTGAGCCACACGAAATTTTAGAAAACCGTTTGCTCTCAGCATTGAGGAAGTCTTTTCCTTCCTCCGCTCTCAGTAGAGTATCAATGATGGCAGAGATTATGAATGCAAAGCTGATGCACAATTGAATGTTGGGATGACACATGAAGATTGAGAGTGGGTGTAATATGCACAACTCTCTCTGTACATACATGTATATACTTTACTGATCTTGGTTTACCCATAAGGTTAGGTTTACCCATAAGGTTAAAAGTGCATTTACTGGACACTTACACCCACATGGAGGACTGTCTGGTTCTACTCTAATCTGACAGACAACATCTATTATCGTTGGAGTTTTTCAGCCAGGCCTTGTAAAAAGAGCCCAGTTTGTGCGATGTTATATAATTTTCTTTTGTTCACGAAACTGGCACAGTGCGCTGCTGACCTCTTTTCAATGTAGGGGCCAGATCAGCATGCAGCAGTACCGTGTAGCTCATCGCTGCGGTGGTGGAGCACTTAAAGTCCCCGGTGGTAATCCACTCGCACTGAATGCCCCAAACAGTGGTATACCGTTTCAAAAAAATGCAGGATTTTCTCCACTATGACAGTGAAAAAATGTTGGTAATGCCCAGCAGCCTGATCTTTTGTTACAAGTATGGTCTTTTGTTATAAGGCCCATCTCCCTTTGTCCGATTTCTGAGACCTCGGCTATACATATAAAGAATATGTTCTTGGAACCGGGCTTCCCGGCAGCAAGTGGTTAATCAGTCTACAAATTATGCACAATGTGACTTACTGAATAGCTCTGCTTTTTGTTTAGTTTCTTCCCCCACAGAAATGTGGGAGGTCTGCTATTGAATACCTACCCCAAACAGTCTCTAAACATTCAAATTTCTATGCATCTGATTCAATTTGCTAAAACTTCTGACCATAGTGCGCCCTCCAGTCCCATTATGCACAGGAGAATGGCCGCCATGTTTGTCCTTCTTTTCTGGTATTAAATCGTCTGAGCCAAAAGTGGGGAAGGATGGGAGGGAGCCAACTGTTTGGGGTAGGTATTCAATAGCAGACTTCACCCACATTTCTGTGGGGGAGGAGTCTTCTGCTTTCAACCTACCCTAAACAGTCACTAAATACGCAGAGTAACATCGAGCCCTTGGAGGGAGGTGTGGCGAGGATGCACTACATAACGTGTGCCAGAGGAGTATGAAATTGTCCAAGCTTTATTGCGGACTCACCAAATAATGGAGTTATTATTTCCAATGGTGGGCCGTTTTGATGAGGAACCCCTCTGCATCTATGTGGCCGATGTTAGGACCGCTCTGCCATGTGCGGACTCCTTTTTGCAGAACATCGGTGAGGTTGCATGTGGTGAAAGTAGATGGGGTCTTCCAGCATGCTGCCTTGCATACTTCGTCCATTGGTATGCCCCTGAAGTAGTCTCATGATGTGGAAACTGCTCGGATATCGTGAGCTCTGATGAGGAGTAGTGTTTTATTGTCCACAGGGTTCGGCCAATATAGGTTGGTAAACTTGATGGCTGAAACTGTCCATCTGGCTGGTCGCAACTTGGTGAGGTTTTATGATGAAAAGCTGCGAAGTTGTACCTGAGTTTTTTGGTTTTGGCTAAGTACCATTTAAGAGTTTGCACTGGGCACCAGGTTTGCCATCAGGAGTCCCAGTGTGTTTGGTAATGTCTGGTACAGAAATGTCAGGAGGATGGAAGGAAACTGACTGGTTCTTTGTGAGATACCCCAGCGTTGGAATGAGACAAACGCTATGGGAGTCCCATCGAATGTGGCCATCTTTGATGGACAATGCTTTCAGTTCACTGCCACGCCGTGAGGTAGTACATGTAACTGCTAGTTGGAATGCCAGTTTCACTGATAGGTTGATCAACGATGCACCGCTGAAAAGCTCAAAGGGGGACCAGCAAGCAGTTAGAGAACAGCTGACAAGTCCCATAAAGGGATTAGTCTCTTAGTCGGGGGATGCTCAAGAAACATTTCCCAGAGTAGATATTTAAGAGCAGTATTGTCGGACACGGTCGAGCCATCTGGGAAGCCATTGTATATAGCCGCAATGACTGACTGGTACTTACAGATGCATGTAGTTGCAACCTGTTTATCTGATTCGAATAGGTACATGAAGAAATCAGCTAGAGTAGTCACAGAAACTTCAGTCAGAGCAAGACCTCAATCTGAACACAATGAAGTAAAATGTTGTAATCTGGAGTTGTAGATGCTGCATGTAGACAGGCGTCAACTCTTTGAGGCCATTTCAGCAGCTTCATCAGAAAGTCCTACTTACCTAAAGGACTGTTTGACAATAGCCAACAGGTCAGTTGTAGTGACGTTACATGGGGGTGAAGCGCGCTCGACTTTGGTTGATGTAGCAGATGGGAAGGATCACCAATACCCAGACGAGAAGTCTGGTCAGACACGGGAACCATGGCTAGCGTGGCCAGAAGGGGGTGATGAGGAGGACATGACATGTTCCCGTTTGATCTTAGAGAGAACTGTCGGTATCAGGAATATTGGAGGGAAAACATAGGCCAACATCCCTTTTCAGCAGATTTAAAGAGCGTTCATTGCCCAGGCTTGCGGGTGGTAAAATCTGATGCAGAACACTGGCAGTTTTAGGTGTTCTCTATCGAGGCGAAAAGATCGGTGTTCAGTTTCTCTACTTCGGTGAAGATCTGTTCAACTATACTAGTGTGCAGAGTCCACTCTATAGGACGTACTTTTCTCTGAGAGAGAGCATCTGCGATAGAGTTGTTGACACCAGGAATGTGAATCGCTTGGAAGTAGATGCCATGATCTTTGGCCTAAAGGAATATCTGTCTCGTCAGAAGGCACGGGCGGGAGAATGCGTGCCTCCCTGGCGATTGATGTATTACACCACTGTGGAGCTGTCCAAGCAGATGAGGACTCATTTGCCTATGATGCTTGTGCAGAGAGCTTTCAGTGCGTTGAATACGGCCTGAAGTTCCAGTATATTTATGTGACTCCCTTGGATCTGGAGGTCCCATGTTCCCGATGCTTGAAGCGGCGGTAGGGGGGCTCCCAAGCCCAGATGAGAAGCGTCTGAGGTTAAAGTTATTTCCCGGTTCAACTTAGGGAAGGGAACTCCGAGAGAGAGGTATCTCTCACTAACCACCACTGGAGATGGGGGCGGATGAAGTTTGAGACAGGGACCTAGAGATTGATTGAGTCCTATTTTGGCCTGTAGAGAGCTAAAAGATGAAGTTGTAGTGGACACATGTACAGCCTGCAGAGGGGAATGAGTTCCACCATGCTAGCCAGCAATCATAGATTCGTTGGTGAATCGGGATGTGAAGGTAGGCATCTTTCAAGTCTATGGAAAAGGCCCAGCAGAGAATCTGTAGAGATTGGGTGACCATCTAAAGGGTTTCCATGTGAAAATTCTTCGGGCGGATAAAGCTGTTCAGAGGTTTGAGATTGATAACAGGTCACCAGCTGTTGAGCTCCTTCTTTGGAGTGAGGAAAAATGTTGAAATGAAGCCCCTGTTCACTTGAGATTTGGGAACCGGGTGGATAGCATGTTTCTGAAGGAGAGAGTCTATCTCAGACAATGCCTGTCATTTGCCTCTGTTGGTAGGAAATGAAGTCAGACGGAGGATAGGAACAGATGGAGGGGTGCTCATGAATTCAAGGCCGTATCTGTAACAAATGGTCGCAAGCACCCAGCTGTCTGATGTGACTTTCTCCCAAGACCCTGCGAAGAGTTGAAGTCACCTGCTGATGGGTCTGGGATCGGCGGGCGGAAGCACGTCTGAATAGTCAGTAACATCTACCCCCGGGAGGTCGGGGGTAGCGCAAATTGGTACATGTAGTTCTTCCCTTGAAGCTCCACTGGGGTGGTGTGGTTTGGTTTAGTAGGTCGAGAGGAGGATAGATGGCCACAATTCATCTGGTAACTGGGTTGACAAAAGGGGCAAAAGGAACGAGAATTGCCTTGATGTGGGGGTCTGTGGGATTGAGCCCAGCGGTCATCAAGACAGCATTGGTGAGGTGGAGCCGGCAGTGGAGGTTCATGGAAGCTAAGTTTGTGTGTTTTGTCAATCCGCTTAACTTCCCGACTCCATCATCTCCATGACCTTAACTGCAAAAAGGTCTTTGCTGTGAAGGGGAAGTTCTTGAAGTCTTGACTTGACTCCCTCCTAGGAAATGTTCATTGTATCTAACACAATGGGCCGCTCATAAAGGTGAGTTTGCGCATGCGCGAAAAAATTTGAAAATGACGCCCTTCGTTATCGCTTATGAATATTAGTTTTTAATCCCTTCAGGATAAACTCCAGACAACTCTCCAATTACATCCTCTCTTTCCAGTGAAGACATCGTATCTGGTGGTTTCTAGTCACCCCAGTTGCTTAGATGGATTCATCAAAATCAAAATGACCACGGGACTTCCCCCTTTTCACTCGTGACCCCCAAACCAAAAGGAATTCCCAAACCAAAACTCGCGACCCCCTACA